GTAAAGAATAAGAAAAAAAAATGGGGAGAGAAATCAATATTCCAAAAATTTCAGTAATCGGAAGTGCATTAATTTTGGGTTTATTCTCTATTAGTTTCCAAATGTCAATTGCAGGGAAGCAGACTTACATCGTTGGCATGATCAAAGACATGAAGCCGGCGAGTTTCTCTGATCACAGCGAGTGGTACGCCTCGTCACTGGCCTCCGTGTCTAACACGGCCAAGCCAATCTATATTTACAACCATGCATTTCACGGCTACTCCGCAATCCTCACTCACGAGGAGGCTGAGCTCATGAAGGCCCAGCCCGAAGTGTCGTCCCTCATCCTCGAAAAAATCTACAGGCCCCTCACGACCCGAACCCCTTTCTTTCTGGGTCTCGAAAACCTGACTGCACAGTCCAAACTTCCCAATCCTGAAAAGGTGAGTGACCTTACCATCGGAGTCTTGGACACGGGCGTCTGGCCCGAAAGTCAGAGCTTCCGAGACAATCACCTTGGCCCCATCCCGAAGCGCTGGAGAGGGCGGTGTGATGTCACACCCGATTTCAACAAGTGGAGCTGCAACAAGAAGTTGATTGGGGCGAGGTCATTCTTAGAAGGCTACCGGCAACATCTCAATCTAACAGGGAAGCTTCTTGAGGAGCCAATATCCCCTCGGGACTACGATGGTCATGGGACCCACACATCGAGCACGGCTGCAGGGTCCGCCGTCCCCGGGGCCAACCTGTTCGGCTTTGCCAACGGGACGGCACGAGGGATGGCGGTCGCTGCTAGGATCGCCTCGTACAAGGTCTGCGGGCAGTCTGGCTGTCCCACCTCCGACATACTGGCCGGCATGGACGCTGCCATCTGGGACGGCGTCGACGTCCTGTCCTTGTCGCTGGGCGGCCCTCCTGAAGACTACTACATGGACCCGGTTGCGATAGGAGCTTTTGCTGCGACGGAAAGAGGCATCCTCGTCTCGTGCTCCGCGGGAAACAGCGGCCCCGCCAAATCCATCATATCCAACGTTGCGCCGTGGATACTCACCGTCGGCGCGGGGACCATCGACCGTGATTTCCCAAAGAAGGTCACGCTCGGGGACGGGAGAACGTTCACCGGCGTGTCTCTCTATGTCGGCCAGAGCAAATCGTTCCGAGCACTCGCCTACGCTGCCAACGTGAGCATTGACGGTACTAGCCTCTGCACCAACGGGTCCCTCATCCCCGCAGAAGTGAAAGGTAAGATTGTGTTGTGTGACCGTGGGGTGAATGCCAGAGTCGAGAAAGGCCTAGTGGTGAAAGAAGCCGGGGGAAAAGGGATGGTTCTGGCCAACACCGCAGAGAACGGGGAGGAGCTCGTGGCCGACGCTCACTTTATCCTGGCTTTGCAGGTCGGCGAGAAGGCGGGCGATGGGATAAGAGCGTATGTTTTGTCCCAAAAGTCCAAGGCCACGGCCAAAATTGGGTTTGGAGGTACAAAGATCGGCGTCCAGCCTTCCCCAGTTGTCGCGGCCTTCAGCTCGAGGGGACCTAACCATATCACCGTCGAAATCCTAAAGCCGGACCTCATTGCGCCCGGGCTGAACATCCTCGCCGCATGGTCACGAGCAATGGGTCCCACTGGCGTAGCCATGGACACCCGCAAGGTCGATTTCAACATAATATCTGGCACGTCAATGGCGTGCCCCCACGTCAGCGGATTGGCGGCACTGCTGAAGGCGGCCCATCCAGAGTGGAGTCCAGCTGCGATCCGCTCGGCTCTCATGACCACAGCTTACTCGACCTATAATGATGGGAGGACGCTGCTGGATGTATCCACAGGCGGGCCGTCTACCCCATTCGCTCATGGTTCCGGACATGTGAACCCCGTGAGAGCCTTGGACCCGGGTCTGATCTACGACCTAACAACAAGAGATTATTTGCATTTCCTCTGCGCGATAAGCTACACATCTTCTCAGATCAAGAGCATTGTAAGGACAAAAAAATTTGAATGCAACGAACGTGCATCGTACAGTGTGTATGACCTCAACTACCCTTCGTTCGCAGCCGCCATCAATTCAACTGGAAAGGGTAAATCCACAGTGGTGGTTTTCACGAGGAAAGTCACCAACGTCGGACAAAACGGGACAAAGTACCAAGTGTCGGTAACTTCACCGAGTCACTCGGCCAAGATTTATGTTACTCCTGATACGTTGGTTTTTCGTCACAAGAACGAAACCAAGTCGTACAAGTTGAAGGTCGTTGCAAATCCAATGCCGGCCGGTACAAATGTGTTCGGCAGCATCGTGTGGTCAGATGATCAGAAGCATGCTGTGGCGAGTCCGGTTAGTGTTAGTTGGGTCTAAGCAACTCCAGAATATATAAAAGGATTTCATCTACGTACTCCGTAATGGTAAAGTAAAGTCCATCTCGCACATGCTACTTATGAGGGTTCATTTGCACCTTCCTTTAATTTCTGTCATACGTAGTAATAAGGACTGTAACTCCTAGAATAAATCTCATTTGAGGTATTACTTGTACTAGCACTTTTTATCGATGTACTTGTGGGGCTTAAAAAACCACACACTTCTTACCGTTCATCAATACAGGCTTTTGGTTTTCCCTCTCCTAAAACCCCCTTGTTTTCGCTTCACCTAATTTTCCTTTGAGAAGTGAAATAGTGATTGTTGATTGGAATTTTAAGCAAAATTAATATTCTTAATGAGAATGGGAGATGTTTAATGAGAAAGGGAGATTATTTAAAGAAATAAGAATAAATTATAACCATCACATTACACAATTAACGGCTGAATTATAGTCATCGTAGTCATTGAATGTGGTCTACACGATGTTGCGGTATCGAGAATTCTTGTTAGAGAGAGAGAGAGAGTAGAGCAGTGGGATCGAGAGGAATTATTACCGGAGAGAAATATCTATACTTATATTAAAGGGGGTATTATTTACCAAATTAAATAGCCAGAAAAGTCAACAGTATTTATTGCATTACTATTTCCGTATTATCTATATATATATATAATAAGAATTACCATTTACTAAAAATAGCAGCAAAAAAATAGGTCAGAATTTAATGTAGCCTATAAATAGTAAGTTTTATTATTTTATTATTTTATTAATTTTTTTCTTTAAAAATCATACAACATTAAATGTTGCCTTAAATTTCGGACTTTAGTTCATTTTTTTTATTTAAAAAATCCGGTTAAGATTTATTAAGTGTGTATGTTTTTATTTTTATTTTTTTCTTATAAACAACGAACAATATTAAAATCTCGGTCTCTATATTTATAAAATCTCAATTCAAAATATAACAAAAGTTTTAGAATCTCGGTCTTTATATTTGTGCATTTAAAAAAAATATTGAATGCTAAAAATAATCTTTAAATTACATAATCAACAATTAATCTTAATTTTTTGAAAATTACTATGTTTATTTTTTTATTAATATGCATAAAGTAAAAATAATGAATTCATCTTTAGAGATATAATTTATAATCTTAATATACTATCATTTGGTGTAAACATTTATATGAATCATAAAAAAATAAATATATTTAAAGAAAATAAGAAAATTTCTTTAGATCAATCGGGTGATGAATTAGGGTACTGCCCATGTTGATTGAATTACTTTTAGGTAATATTTAAAATAGTAAACAAACTTGACACAACTTGGTTCGTCATAAGTGACTAAGTTATGTATCAGTTTAACCACACTAAATCGATTATTGAACCTAAATATAAATTTAATATTGAAAATATTTTATTACGTGAATGTGATGTAGTCCAAACTTCAAATAATCGTATTAGCAATATTATGACAACATGTTTAATGATTTATGAATATTTATATATCATTTTATTAATATTTATGTGAATTAAATAGTATTTATTAATGTAAAGTAAATATAATGTTGTAAGAACTGGACCGTCATCGAAACGATCAAGCTAATTTATTAAATCATTTGTGGTTTATTCAAATTTTAATTTAATATATATATATATATATATAGTACTTTTTGTAATAAATTTAAATAAAATGTGTTACTTAGATATCTAAACAATTTAAACTAATTGATAAATAATTTATAAATCACTATTTTATTTAAAATAGTTTTAAATATAACAAAATTTATGTAGAAAGTCGTATCGATCCTACCAGTCCAACCGACTGGTGTTCACGGATTCGAGAGCAAATATTGTATTCAAGCGAACTAGACTGGTTATAAACCGGTTCTCGGTCCATCCGGTCGGACTGTGTCCAACCCTGTTTAATTTAAAAACAATGGATAAATCATGATTAATGTTATTTATATATTTAATTTATAATACAATCGTAATATTGTTTTTCCGTGCATGGCACGGGCCACGCACTAGTTGTCCTTTGAGGCCTGTAAGAGGGAAAATTTTCAACGGAGTAATACTCAAGGTAGTGTATTGGTTCTCCATTCCGTTTATAAGCAATGTTGGAAATTTGGCCCAACTCTCAGGCCCAAGGAAACCCCAGCCCAAATCCCGTCTGGGCTTCGCCCTCACTTACCCGAATTTATATGGACCGTTGGATTTGGGGATTTAATCCCAACCATCCTTTCACCCTAAATACCCTATCTCTATCTCTCCGCCTACCACACAACAGAAGACCTCACTCTCTCTTTTCTCTTGCTGAGCCCAAATATCTCTCTCTTTTGTGATACAGAAAACGATATCTCTCTGTGAGGAACACCCGATTGAAGCAGCTGTGAGTGTGAGTGTGAGTGTGAGTGATACCGTGAGAGCCTTTGTGAGTGCCGCCGTCTTGCTGCCTCTGTGCCGCCAAGCCGTCGCCCTATTCAACCCGCCGGTTAGAGCTCTTCGTGGGGGCTTCCGGCGTATCTCTGTGCGAGAAGGAGGGGTTAGGCGACGGGTGACCGGGTGCGGGGCTCGTGTGGGTGAGGTGCAGCCCGAGGTGCGGGCTGAGGAACCGGGGTCGCCGTTCGTTGACCACCACCGAGCCGCAACTGTGCCGAGGAAAGACTATCTGAGCCCAGGAGATTTCATGTCTTCATTATTCGGCCAGACTTCGTCGTGAAAGGGGGTTTTCTCTGTTCCTTCTTTTATTTCCTTTTTTACAGCATTTTACTTTGTGTATTTACTTGATTATTGTTGCTATTAATCATTGTTATTCTGTGTGTTTGCGTAGCAGCTGAAAAGGGGCCCGAAAGAGAGTTCGTGGAATCAGCCCGGGCCCGAAATAAGGCTGTCGGGGGACCTGTAGACGAGCAGCACCTCTGCGAGCTTGAAACGGGCTGCGAGCGGGTTGGTCGAGTTCAAGACGAACCTTCCGCTGCCAATGACGAGAGCGGTGCGACCGGGACGGCCACACAACAAGCAATTTTTCAATTAAATCGTTTTATTTTCTTGGGTTTTAGTGGAATGAAGGTTTCGTTCTAGCATTCAAAACATTATTACACTAATTGAGACTGATTTAAATTTAATCTTTGATTGAATTGCAATGTGCACTGTCGTTGTTTCATTCTTGGTGTGTCGTTCAACTAAATTTTACAAATTCACAAAGTATTTCTTAAATCATGATATACATACAAATTTAATAAGACCTAGTCCCCAATGAAACACAAACATCTAATTGACGAAAAAATAAATAAATAAATAAATAAATAAATAATAAAATCAAGATTGATATACGATTTAATAATACCTGGTCCCCAATGCTCATTTGGATGATTCGATTCTCGATGTTGAGTATGAAGTGGTTCTCATATCTTTCGGGTCGTCGTTTCATGCTATCAAGGATACTGGACATTTGGAGGAGTTTAGTGCTCTTACGCCATTCTCCCGACTCTTGAGATAGTACAATACACATCCAAGATGGCACTCGTGATGATCGAGATTGATTCGACGTGCTCAACGGACATTTTCATATACTTGGTGGTCTATTACGTGGCTATAGTGCATAAAGATATATCTATTTTCTTGGTGATTATTGATATTCGTGCTCGGTTTCACTAGAACATTGTCACGAGAATTCATTTGGCTCGCCTTTATTCTATTATACTATATCGACTACTGTTTGAAAATACAAAGTCATGGCGCTCGTGATCGACATTTTTTCTTGCATCCCAGTTGATTTTAGTTTGGGGACGTCGAGCTCTAGATGTTAAATTGAGCGCTTCGTGGGAGACAATTCACTTGTATTTTTTTATTTTTTGTTGAAAAAAGAGCTTGTGCGGGCCCACTAGAAAATGCTGACCTTTTAGTGTCGAGTCGGAAAAAAAAGGGAGAAAAAAAAGGAAGAAAAAAGGGAGAAAAAAAAGAAAAAAAAAAGAGAGAAGAGTTAAGAACAATGCGGAACGAGAGCTGGTTGTTGAAAATGGTGAAGGATTTTTAGCTCCATCTGCGCTTAACAACACCGACTCAAGTGGCAACTCGCGACCTGGCGAGTAATCATTCGCGGACAGTGAGTCACCTCTCGCCCGAGGAAGCCGACCAACCTCAGCAGCACACAAACACTAGCAACGGGGCGAGTGATCACTCACGGGTCACGAGTCCTTGTTTTCTCGCGAGTTTCAATGCTCAACAACGAGTCCGCGAGCAGACGCCTGTCCATGCACAGGTGTAGCCCAACGCACCACGGTGACGCTGCACGCCTATCTGCGCCCGCACTCGAAGACGGTGCATGCCTGCGCGTGACGCCTGCACCCAGCGATGTTCGAGCCCACTCATGCGTGCACTCGAGCTACCGATATGGTCCCACGAGTCGCCAATCAAACCATCGAGCCCCGACGCATCATGCGGCCACCGTCAACACTTTCTGGCGGCCGGTAAAATGTTTCGACGATTGCCAATTTTTTCAACCAAAATTTTTTACTATAATTGAAATTTTCAGCTACCAATATATATAATTTTAAATTGAAATTTTGTATGATAAATAATAACCTATGACGTCTTATAAGATCATGTAAGATTCTCAAAAGGCATAAAAGTGTTGTAAAGCTGCAAATGTTTATTCATCCTTTCCCATTCTTTGGCTTTGTTTATGTGCTAGATGACCACACAACTCATTTTTGCATTTACTAGTCTTGTATCTGATTGTTTGATGAACATCAAGGCCAAATGATGATATGTTCACAAATATTTAAACAAGAAAAATTAGGAAAATAGAGCCAGTATTGTATTTAAATTAAAAATAAAAATGAAAAAGAAAAAAGTGAGAGAAACATGTTAGCTGTAGGACAAGGAGAAGAGCAAAAAACTAATGTAGTTTAACATGGGGGGCAAATTTATAAACAGTCCCGCTACACATACAACACATGTTGACAACTTTACTTTACAAACTGACGTGGCATTAATAAAAGTA